TGTTTTTAATTTGTTTTTCCAACAAAATGCATTTTAAAGCTACAAAAAATACAGAAAACTACATAAAATATCATCCTCTATCGACCTACATCGAAATTAAAATATTTTGAAGAGGGACCGATTTCTACCGAATTTTGGACCCCCATTCTTTGATTCTTAGTTACAGCCTTATTGGTCTGTTTAATTATTATAATTGGGATACGATTATGCTCTACTTATTCATACTGTAACACAGATAAAAATGTATAAGATTATTTTAATGTAAAGCTCCAGTTTTATTACATTGTCAGCTTTTAATCACGTTTAAAACTTCATAACAAACACCCATTGTATGATAATCCGTTTTTCCAGCTGGTGATTTTTCATCACTAATTTTTTTATTATCTGGTGTCAATATTCTATACCAAGCCCCATATTCATGATCAATAAAATAGTTCCAACTATATTTCCAGATTTTATCATACCATTGCCAATAATGCTCGTCATTAGTACGATCTGCTAACAAAGCAGCAGCAGCTAAACTTTCGGCTTGTACCCAAAAGTACTTGTCCTCATCATAAGGATTCCCATCCAAATCGTAACCGTACATTAAACCATCATTATTTTTATCCCATCCATATTTCATTGCACGATCAAACAAATCTTTTGCTCTTGATAAATGCCAGTCTAATGGTGTATATCGATCGAGTATCAATAATAATTTTGCCCACTCCGTCTGGTGTCCCGTTTGAATACCCCATGGCCGAAAGATATTTGTTCGTACATTTTTATTATATTCTAAGTCTGGTGACCAGTCGTCTTTGAAATGTTCCCAAACTTGACCATTTGAATGTTTTGCTTGACGATTGACCATATTATCTGCTAAAATATTTGCTCGATCGAGATAACGTTGTTCTTTAGTCGCTTCATAAGCGGCTATCATAGCTTCACATGAATGCATATTATCATTTTGGCCTCGATAGTTTGCTACTTTCCAGTCAACACTTGCTTCACTGGCATACAAACCAAAATCTGGCAACCAAAAGTGTTTTTCCATTGTGTCAAACGTTTCAGCTATCCATTGACGTGCTTCTTCAATTCCAACTTTTACACCACACGCGTATGCCAATACGACAAATGCAAAACCGTAGCAGTGATTTGTATCGTCAACAATTTTTCCATCATTAATAACCCACGCATATCCACCTGTTTTAGGATTTCTATGAACATTGCGTATATAATCTAGACCATGCTTTACTCGTTGTAAATAATCGGGTTTTTTAAATTGTAAATAGGCCATTGCATAATTGTAAACGAATCTTGTTGATGATACTAAATGTCGTGTATGTTTATCATACACGGTACCATCATCTTTATAAAATTGATAAAATCCCCCACCATTTTCATCAACAGAATTTTTGTAAAACAATAAGGTATCTTGAATATGATCAGTAAGAAACTTTTTGCTACGAAAATCCATTAGAGTATTCGACAATGTAGATAGTGGAATAGCAGAGAATATATCATATTATGCTTGAAATAGAAACGGAAAAAGGAGAAAAAGAATAATGAATACGCATGACAAAAGGTAAAATATGCAGGAAAGAAAAAAACGGCTGGCAAATTTTAACTATTTTTTTCTTTTTGTGTCCATACGTCAATTGATTATAAAACTTTTTATTTGTCATCCAAAATATGAAAATTTTATTTATTTGAATTTTCAAATCAAGATTGCTTTACACTAACTAGCTATTAAGGAATGGTATGTTCAGTATAATAATGTTTATTTCTTCTAAATAATGTACTGTTTGTAGGCTGCGACTAATGATAAAGAATCAATACTTGTTTTCGACAAAAGATTACTACCAAAATGTCAAAAAGGACAGTGTCATAGTAGTACAGATCTTCGCTCGGGCTGCGTTTCAAATCATATATGTTGTTATGAATGTTGGTGTAATGCAAGTGCCTCATCGTTGCATGCAATATGTCCCGTTTGTTCTGCATCATTATCACTATATGTTACGCAACTACCAAAACACACGATAAACTGGGATGAAGTTGGAAAATTAATGAAACGAAAAAGACGTCAACAATTGGGCACATGCTCCGAATGTGAGCAATTGGCCTATCTCAGATGTGATCCTACTCATTGTTCAAAATTATTTTGTGATGATCATTATGAGCAACATTTAAGAAATGAATTCATCAACGTTGTTGATCATCAAGAGAAATTAAAAAATGTTGTAGAACGTATTGAAAGTACGTATTAATATATAGCATGAAATCTCTTGCAGAGTTCGTTTTAAACTGTTCTTTGGGATAAAAAAAAATATACTTAGAACTTTAGAGCTACAAAAAAGCTTCTGAAGAATCCGCAAATGCTTAGTCACACATGAAAAGATTAGATCAGACAATTATGATAGGAAAATAAATAGTCCCACGCGGATAATACACGCCAAATCTATATCATAAGCTGAGGTAAAAAAAAGGTAGGTATTATAATAACAACAACAGGGAAAATAAAGCAAATGACGAGTTAGTGGGAGAGAATAATCAACAGGGACGAACAAAGATGGAAAGAAGAAAAGAAGGAAATAAAAATATAAAAAAATAAAAATAAATTTGATTTCTATGTAAAAACAGATTCTTATATAAGTTTATTAAATACTGCAAATGTGCTAATTTGAGAAGAATCAAGCAGGTGCATCAAAATGCTTCGTTTGAACTAGATAATAAATGACTACATTGACAATTTTTAGCAAGAATTTCACATTCAAATTGAAGCAATATAGTCTGTAGATTAGCTGAGTTCATATTGAAAAATTCGAAGAAGTTTTTGTCTGGACACTAAATATAGAGGGTACTTTAAAAAATGATCAAAAGCAATCTCCTTCGTCTGACTATCACATGCAGAATATGGATCTAGAATAGACCCTATGGAGTAGAATTATGATATGAAAGTCTCAGATTGGAAACCAGAAAGTTAAAGAATGGTTTTCAAGTCAGTTTGGAATGTCCCAAGCCTACATTCATTGCTCCAATTGATTTTGACCCTTACAAAAAAAGTAGTGTTCGATAAACTCGTCAACTAATTCGAGAATCGTTTTTTGACAACGTGGTCCCAAGTTTGATAAATTTATGTCGTATTTCTACCCCATTCATGAAGTAGAATACCCTTGCGATAACGAGAATAATTAATATCTGTAACTTAATTCCAGAAATGGAAATAATAAGATTATGAAATTTCTGTTTATATATAGTTGAATTACCTAGTATGTCTATGTATTATTATTTACAGAACCAAATAACATTTTGGATGAACAACGAGAGAAGTTATTGAACGTAACAAATGAGTATTATAAAAATATAATCGACGAAGTTAAGAGACAAAAAGACGTTGTTCAAAGTGAAATCAGACAACTATGTGAACATAAGTAAACGGCTAATGATTCAAATGCTCAAGTTTTATATATATTGTTGTTTTAGTGCGACTACTTCAAATGATTATGAAAGTTTAATAAGAGATTTTCAAAATGTTATCAATCGACATCGAAATCCTGAAAATCTCGAGTAAGTGAGAGATATTTTATATATTACTTGTTGAGAACATAAAGGACTCTTCGATGATAATATACACGATAAATTTTCAGAATTGGTCCACTAGCAAGTTGGAAAAACGACATCAATAGAGCAATTAAAAAAGCAGAAGAAATACAAAAAGAACGAGATTCTGTACAATTTAATGTAAGTTTCATTTAATTGAATCTAAAATTTATTCAATAGTTATCATCTCGTTTTTTAGTTTACTTTTGTTGGAGCTATTGTGCCTACACTGAAATCATACACATTGCCACGAATTGGTTTTTTACATGAATCAATAAATGATAGTTCAGAAGTATCTTTTGACGTTGCATTTCAACTAGTTACAAAGTGTCTACAAAAAACATCAACAATGACAACATATTCGTGTAAAGACGAAATTCTTTATCGACCTCGTGCTGTTTGTAATATAAATAACGAATATTTTGTTATTACTTCATTTCATAATAATCAATTACAATTTTTTAATAAAACATTCAATCATGTTTTATCACACAAATGTCAATCACCACATGATTTGACAAGTGTCAAAGCAACTGAAAATAATAATTATTATTTATATGTGACAACAAGTGGCAAAACCGATCGTCTAATTCGATTAACTATTTACTATGATGAAACGACAATGTTAAAAGTAATAGAAGAAGAACCACTTTATGATGAAAATATTGGCGAACCAAACGGAATTGCATGGGTCAAATCGATGAATGCACTTTGTGTATGTGATGGTTCAACGGGTAAAGTGATTGTTCGTGCTAGTAACAAAGAGAAAGATGATGAAATTGATTTTACACCTGCAACAACATCTCAGAAACCCTATAGCATACGCTGTTCGACATCACAAGTATATGTTGGCGATATCAGTCATCAATTAATTTATGTATTTGATAAATATCTAAAATATGTAAAAACAATCGATGATAAAACTTCATTTCATTTCCAGCCCACCACTATCTGCGTATTGCATACGCCACATGAATTTATTCTAACATCAAGTGAAGATCTACGACATATCAATATTTATGATGCGAAAGGAGAAGGAGAATTTCTTGGTACATCATTTAAATTTTCTGGATGTATTTCATCCATATGCACATTTAGACATTATCTATTAATTATAAATTTTACTATGAATTGTTTACACGTTATTGAACTCGATAAACGTTTATTTGGAATTAACTAATTATATATATCCAAATGATTATCCTTGATTTACTAACAAACATATTTTACAATATGCATCCGAAGAAGATATAGAGTCAAGGTGTTAATTGTTGACAGAACATGATAAAAACTTCATGTACAGTTTCGTGAATAATGTAATGTTTGAATAATTTTAACACATTTCGAATAAATCTAGAGAAACTGATCAGAGGACTTGATAGTTTCGCTTGTTTGACAAGTAGAATTGCTTACCTTTTATTCGTTATCATCAAGTTCTTCAGAAATGATTTCAGTTTTAATTACGAAATAGTAACGTACAAAGTCATTTTGAAAGATATTTATTTGGATTCCATAGAAAACAATCTTAGCAGGACAGTTCGATTTACTTAAGTGATACGCCCGCCTAAACTTTTGCGTTAGATAATTTAAGTTTTGATCGTTGTAACTACCCTTTGATATCTCTTATGCTTTAAAAATATCATTTGTACTCTGTTCACGTCTAAAAATCAAATGTGAGTGGTCTACGAACAAACCTGAATGAAATTGGCACAATGTATGTTGAAAAGAAAAGTTAGCCCATTTTTTATTCTGATTGTCGAGATTTTTGCTGAGCAATTTGAGAAAGATCGTCGTCATTTCAAATTCAGACGCCATTTCAACGACTTTCTCCAGATAGATCGCTGTTCGTCTCTCTCTCTCTCTCTATACTACTACAGCTATATCGATGTAATAATTCTTGACAACGATGTTTAACAATCTAGATTCAATTCATTCATTCAGTTACTAAAATTAAAAAGATCTTTATCATAACAGTGTGAGACGCAAATTTGGCACACTCTGTTTTCGTTGATCGTTGATTAGGTAACAAATGTCTCATTTTATTGATCAATATCAGCTGTCAAATCAATTTTTCTCATGTTTGCTGGCAGAAACGAACCATCTTCTTGTCGTTGATTTTGTCCACGTAATCCACTTAGATAAATTTTTGGTTGTGGAACGTTTGAATAATTGTCACGTTTTGTTTGTACATATTGATCTTTTGGTAAATAAACTTGCGTAACATTTTCTCGACGAAAATTACTAAAATTTGTTTGTATACTTTTTGTTAAACGTTTTCTTAAATTAGCTAATTTTAATGCCTTACGACGTAATTCCCATTCGTTCCATTCATAACCTTAAACAAAAATATTAAAATACATATGTTGATAGGCACTGGTATATAGACAATAATTTAACCTTTGACAATATTTGATTCCTGAAAGTGAGTATCAGTTTGTACACCACAATCGGCTTTCATTTGTGGTTTTGCCGATACATGTGCCAAATCTCCATACTGTGTAACAGATGTAAATTGATTATGTAAATCAAGTAGTTGAATTAATTCGGGATTTAATTTCGCATTATTCGCAATACTTTCAATAAATTTTTGACTTTGACGACAAAATAAGACGGCTGCTTTTGGATCAGTAAATGCATAATAACGTTCATTTATTTGAACAATACCAATACGTGTATCACCATGAATCAATTTAAAATCTTGTAATGCCAAATGATAAGCACAAAAACCTTTAGAAAAATAACAAAATCAACATGAGTTTAAGTGTGTACGTACATGTTATATCGAATTAAATGATAAAACAATTAAATTATTTCTTATCGATAATTTACCTTTATACATCAATGGTAATTTATCGAAGTTTTTTGTTGTTTCTTTGTAATACCATGAACCGTCAGCATTTCGTTCTTCTGGTTGAACAATAACATCATTATCGTTTACCAAATGTCTTTGCTTATCCTAAACTAAACATGCTCAAATAATTGTGGGGGTGAAGATTGATTATTAAAAGTAGCCACTCACCGTTATTACTGTTATTCTATTCAAACATTTTCGTACTGCATCATCCGCCAATAGTTCTTTTGTATTTAGAGTATACGGTTCCAAACTGTACAATATATTACTCAATACACTTAATAAAACCATTTCATCTTGAAAACCAAACCAAATAGATGCTAAATGCATAAATTGAGGATAAACTTGAGCAGTTGGTACTCTAAAATAACAAAATTTATGTTACATGATAAGTTCTACAATTAAAAAGTAAAAAGACATACGCTGTTTTATTTTGTATTGTCGTTTTTAATTGTTCAAGTCGAAATTTAAATTGTTGCAATAATTCTTCCACTTCACGTGCACTTGGATAAGAAAATAAAAAGTAAAATTTGATTAGAATATTTATATTTAAAGACAACAAATAATATCTTTCATAATATTAGTCGTACCTTTGTTTAACATCATTTGACAATATTTTTAAATATAATTCTAATTGTCTTGAATTGATCATTGACTCTTGTATGCGTTTACGTGGTGTCTCTTTACTCAATTGTTTATGTTGTAATGCATTCATAGCATCCAGAACGGATATTAATTTTTCACTTGAATCAATGGCATCATCCGTTTGTTGTTGAATTTCTTTTAGAGTAGCTGGTATGGCTTCATTTAATATAGCTTTAATAGAAAGTAACGTCTACAATTTAAGAAAGGAGAAATTTATTATCGATTAATACCTGGTAGATTATCAATGCCTATAAAGAAAATACGAGCAACTAGTCAAATATCAATGTTCAAATTCAAAAACACAAGTTTGAATTTACCTTCACCACCTTTTCCACATTCTTTATTAAATAAACGTATTCCGGTTACAATCTGAGTTAATTCTACTAGTTGTCGATCTTTGTCACGTTTTGATAAATTTAAAAAATTGCCTAATTCTGTTTGTGGAAATACACTCTGTAATGCGGCTGTTGCTTCTCTAACAACCGATATGTCTGTAAGATATACAATCATTTTTGTGTAAATTATAATTTTCTTTTTTTGTTTTTGTGTTTACATACCGGTTGGTGAGCCGAGACCCGAGCGAAGTAACACACTCGATACTATTTTACGATATAATGATTCTAGTTCTTCTTTTGTGGTTGATCGATTATCCGTTATTTCTCTTAGAATCGGTTGCAATCGTGATTCTAAACATAAACGTTAGAAAATACATAGAGTTAATGAAAAATAAATAGACTTACGTAACACACGACGATGTTCAGTTAAAAATTCATCGCGTGTCGTATAGTTCATATCAAAATACACCTGCATTTTGATTGTATCTAATGATGCTGATTTGGAATCTAACAATCTTTTTACACATAAATCAATAAGACGTTGAACATCTTCTGATGCCAGTACGCGATCAACTTGAAAATCATTTTGTGGTTCTAGCACGATAGATTTAATGATAAATGCAACAAGGGTTTCGGATACACCTATAGATAAGAAAAAAACGAGAAATGATAGAGTATATAATTATACGTAACAAATTTAAAGACTTTTAACATAGATTTGAATTTACTCTATTCTCTTCTGTAATTTACTTACCCTCGCCGCGCGATGCACATTCTTGAACAATTTCTCGAATAATGTTTTTGATAACACCTTCTGCTTGAATTCTATTTGCTCCTGACATACTTTTTTCTTTTATACAATTCAATTTGAAATATTGTCAACGACGGTAAATATCTGTTTGATCACTAAACTGTTCTTCTTATAATATTCTGTCAAGCAAATTTCAGAATATTACTTGCAATTTTAATTATAAGTAACCTCGTGTGTCGTAACTCTTGGTGTGTTATTCTATTTTTTATTAACGCTTTTAATAGCTCAAGTCGACAATTGAATCATTTTTTCAGACTAAGAAGATTATTTAACTTCCATTCCGAAGGACATTTTCACTTCGTATCTGATGTATAACCTCTAAAACAGTTGTTTTATCTTTGAGAGATGTCGCCTACCATAACGAGTGGAGGACCCGTTGCGTCGATTTGGATGAAGAGGGAAGGAATATTGTATATGGAATCTGATTTATATAGTGCTTTTTGGAGTTTTTACCGAGGAGTTGTTATGCAGCATTTATTGTTGAGTTCAAACAGAGGTTTTTTAAGCGTCGTTTGTACTTTTCCGATACAAGTTTTCGCTTTAAAATTAGTTTCAGAAGGCTTCTTATTATCCGACATTTTTAATCAAAAGTGTGATTGTACGGCAAGCCAACTGCCCCCATTCGAATTAAAACTTTGAGTTTGCTATTTTTGCTGTTGATAGACAGCATTAATTCATACAAACTAAATATTCTGTTCACGCTGAGCTTTTATACACAACTTTACTCATTTTATACAAATCCGTTCACACAATTGCTTTAGATTAAACAAAATAAGTTCGTTATGTCATTATAAGTTAATGAAAACTGCCATTTTCGTAAATGAATGCATTTACCTCTCCCAAGGTGTTATGTTTGGGAGATGCTTTGAGAGATGAACACTTGGTTTTCACCGTTTGAAAATGAAAAACTTATTATTTTTAAGTTTTTCTTTTTAAGTAAAAGTTGGCCCATCTTAATGATGTTTACAACATGAACATGCTGCTACTATTTTACAGAAGTATAAATACCTACTATGTACATCGTCTAATGAGTAGAACTCATTTATTTATGCACGGTGCGATTTTCTTCAAATTTTTTTCGACTAATTGTTTTAAACTGACATTTGGGTTACATTCAGACCCAGATTCGAGAGAGAGTTGCATTCTTAGTTGATGAACCGATTAGGGACCGTGTAACCTGTCCTGTAAAAACTAACGCAACCTATAATCTGTCCTAACCTGCGAGGTGATAACCTTAGCCCGTCTTAACCTACAGATTGGGACAAGTTATGTCTGATCTGCAGAACTCTACCATCGATTTAAACGCAGTCATCAAAGAAACCGTTAGTTACTTATTGAAAGTTCTGTCGGTTCAAAAGATCAACAAAACCACCAGTAAACTGTGTCATCAATCACTTTTTTGTTTTGCAGTTGTGATTGTACTTTAATAAACACTAAATTTTGAAAAAGAACTACACCTGTCACATTTACTCGTCGAAACGTAAATTTCAACTAAAATCATAGACATTAAGGTAAAAAATAAGAAAAATGAACACTTGGTGTGCCATGCTACTCAGCACTACGATACAAAAGTATATAAAAGTATATACTTGATATTAAATTTGACCGTGTCTGTGTAATATTATGTGGATTAATCATCTTTCTCTTATCGTTACGAAAAGATGTTATCAAATCGATTCTGACATAATTCTCGAAATGACGAAAAGGTGTATGTTCCATGCGGTAACAAAGTTAAAAAGTAAAAGAAATGAACAGTCAAGAAATCGATAGAAAGAAGTAACAGAAAACGAAAATCGCAATAAAACATGTCCGATCCGATCGTGCGCAGTGGCAAGGGGCTCACGAGCGAAGTGACAAAGCGCATTTTGCTTAAAAGCCAAAGAGTTATAAGTAATCGATACTGTTGATTCTGGATATGACAGTGGGAATTGAGCGATATAGGAGGTTTTAAAAAAATGTGACAACTAACAGAATCAGTCGGATAAGAGAATTTTTTTAAAAGTCTTTTCGTTCTAAACTCTCAGATTATTGTTCAGAGAAATTATTCCAGAGAAATTCTACACTATACTTTGTTTCTTGAAAACTGAAATAAATGTGCAAAGTGGAATAATTCCTGTTAACAGTTATATTTTTCAAACGTTTCAATGTGTCTGATCTTCTTCAATTCCATTTGGTTATGATATTACAATTAATGCATGTTCGTATCCTTTTTCTTTCCATTTACTGCACAAGTCATCATTACCACATGTTCTACAACATTGTACATCCATCGCACCTCACAGTTTCCCAAACAAATTCTTCTGGTTTCTGTGTTTCATAAATGACTTTTTCACCTCGACACCATGTCTCAATAGCCTCGAATTGTCTTATACCAATATTTTGTCTATCGTGTTTTGTTAACAACTCACCATGTGGTTTAAGAATAATTAATGATGATATATCCTGAACTTGAAAAATAAGTTTTCAACTGTACTCTTGTTATTTGTCTTTCGCAGGGTAAAGGTATCCATCGTAACAAAAGTGTAGGTGTCGTAGCTATTTAAATGGTGAAATAAAACTGTTCAAGGTTTGACTCAGCTAACATCTAATTTTTTCATCTCATAAAGGCCTCTAACAAAAACTAATGATATATTCGGAATCAACGTTAGAAACTGCCTTGACGAATGTACAACACATTGAGTTTTCGATCGCACGAATATTCATTGAAATATTTTTCCACAGACCTGCAAGATCGTTTTTTTAAAAAGCTAACGTATTTTTAATAGAAATTCTCCATTTACTGATAAAGTATCTGTCGAGCAATACAGATTACTCTCACATATTAGTCTTACACATTCTTCTTTTCATTCTCGATAAATTTCACTTTTTTCTAATACATTATTTGGCTTGCAGCGAAGGGGCCGCAACTAATAATATACTAGTTGGCTGCTTTTCGCACATTAGTTACATCGAGTCATATTCTCTGACCTAAATGCAGGACGATATCACCTACAACGCCTGAAGTATCAACATTATTTTCATTACTTATAACAACAAAAATAATGACATTGTCTTCAGTGACAAAGTTACGTGATATGACAACTGATGGCTTTAGAACAGTATGAGAAGCAGATATTGGTCTACACTCGATGTTCATCGTCGTACCCTCCCTGTAACGGCTCATCGCCATTACATTGTTCTCCATGCTTGATCTTATTGCAGTTTATAGAAATTCTTAAAACTTCGAAGTTTCGCGGATTTTAGTAAGAGAGATAGGGTCCGGCGGGATTATCCCGATCCCTATTTTTTTTCCGAACCCGGTCCCAATCCCGTTGGGATCGAGATCGGGATCCCGGTTTCAATGTCACTGAGGTATTGTTCAGGATCCCAATCCCGCCGGGATCGGGATCGGGATCGGGACCGGGATGAACATTTTCGGGACCTAATTAACCATTTCATATCGGAATATAACATTTTTTTAAAAATCTTGTGTTCACACTTAAAAAAGTGTGTTCACACAGAGTTAAAATATTTTGATGAATATAAGAAAGACTTTGAATACATAACAAAGATATCCAGTGTCGAGGAAAA